AATAGAGGTTGTAGTAAAGTGAAACTAGATAAATACAAGAGGTTCACTAAGAGGAGTGCTAGCAGGTTAGTTCTAGAGGAAGATTTGAACTAGAAAGCGCAAAATGGGGGAAATATTATTGATTAAAAATAGGTCACTTAAGACGGGGTCTACTTAAAGACTAGGGGAAGGAATCATTTGGCTTTTGTTACAAATAAAGGGGCAGGCTTTGGATGGGCATTCGTCGGGGAGATTGAGACATGCAATATATCTGACGTCAGAACCCTGTGGATTTGGATCAGAATCTAACGAAAAACCGTACTGAGATAGTTTCGACATCTGAAGAACTGAGGCGTCAATACGTGGATTTAATGATAAGATTACTTAAATTGTTGTCACCTGTTCATTTGTTGGCGAAAGTATGCATTTCGAGACGGGTCAAATGACTTTTATTTTCTTTTTTTAGGAAAGCAGCTCGGCCTGCCAGGGAACACCCTTGTCGTGTGCATGGAGGTGAACGGCATCATCTACCAGGGCGTCCTATTTGGCCAAACGAGGTCCTCCTAATCACCCCTCTACCTCCAACACCTGTCCCGTCACTTATAATTTCGCGAACGTACACACCCCAACAAACACCAGTCTCTTACCCATGTCTACTACCAGCCATTCGCCCACATTCGCATTGGGCTGTACAAAGTTCTCTCTCGATCTCTTTTTGCTTCATAATATGAACGCTCACCGCTTATAATATGGCCTCCTTGAAAGGCACCAGTATTCTCCGAATAAAAACACACACAATTGTATGCCTACAAAGTATCATGTAAATAATACAGCTACATGTTTTATTTGGTCCACTGATCCATATTTGGTCTGGAAGAAGTTGACAGGATTATAGATGGTTATATATTTACTTTGTAATGCTGACAGCACTCATCACGATTAGCCGTATGGACTCGATAATGAAATGCAATCAAGCCTAAAATGTTTGCTTTTCATTAAATTATTTTGGTGGCCAACGCTGGGATCAAGCCTGGCTGTTTTACCAGCGGACAACACCAAAACTTAACATGAGGTCCATACTTAGCTTAATTTGGTCGCCTTGGCTACGTCGGAGTAATTCGTATTCGTCTTGGGGCAGCAGTTCATCGAATTCTACCACGGCGAGTGTGAGGACGGTGAACTTGGCCGGTTTCATTTCCTATGAAATAGTAAAGTCGCCCCACAGACAATGTACTAGAGAAGTCGGATGCGGAATAGTAAGCATGCCTTTCATCCGCTTTACATGTCCGGACTACCTTACATTTCTTGACACACGCACAAAGATTCACATAATCAGGGGATTAGAACTAGCCGGCGCCCCCAGTCCACTCATCAGCCACTTCACACAAAACGCCCATTGGGCTAATGGTGTGTCCGGTCAGTTGGCAGTGCTAAAAAGGAAACTGGAGATGAGGATTGCAGAGCAGGTCGCGCAAGAGAAGAAGAGAGGGAGAGAGCAACCGAGAACACTGCTTACCTTTCAGCGGATGCAGCCTGCTACACATGTCAAACATAATCATCCTAAATAGGATTACCGAAACAAACCAAAATGAGTGCCAATAATGCTAAATACGTCGAACCATGATAAGTGAATTAAACAACTAAATTAGTGCTTCAAGCCAACAAAAAGCTGAAGAACCTTTAAGCAGTTAGGAGGAAAATACCATAAGAGAAAACGGTACTCCATGAAGTCCACGTAGGCTGCGATGGCAAAGCACTATGACTAACGAAAATAGTGCCTGACCAAGAGTTATAATGGTACTGAGACACGAAAGACAAATACGTCGAGGAACTGTGCTAGAACAAGTTTGTCGATCCATTGAATTGAATAGTTCAGGTGTCCCAAATAATTTTTGAGCACTTTTTGACTTCAACGGCCAAATCAAAATTAAGCAGAGACAGGCAACCGAATTCCTTTTGAATGCGTTTTCGTACTTCGTTGCCGAATTGGAGAGAAGCAAAAAACGGTATTAAGGGAGGTCGCAACTACACAGCTAAAATATAATTTTCAGAAAAAATCAGCTGAACCAGTGTGTTGCTCACATGTATAATCCCCCTGAAGTATATGAAAACAGAGGGATTTGGAGTATTCGCTTTGGGTAAATAGAGACATCAGTGACTTTCATACTTGCTTCAGGCGCCGAATGGAGGCTTTACGAGCAAATGACCAATAACTTAGTGTTCAGAGAGAACCTGTTGCATCAGAATGGGTCTTCATACCTGTTGCCCGACGGACAAGATCTCTTGGGACGTGGATAGAACACTTACTATAAACCACACTTCACCTACCTTTGCTGCAACCCACAAATCTTTCACTTTCGGCAGTGATCTGAGGATTCCGTGAGCGAATTGGGATGCAAGTTATGTCGGGCAAACATGACATACTTCACAAACACCAGTTGACCAAACTCATAAAGCCTTGAAATTCCAGGCACGTGCATACCCCCCATAGGCATTAACAGCAAGGAGCAGGCGAACACATTGGCGCCTATGTAGATGTACCATTAGCATGTTTATATCAGTAACGTTCATTGCACCCGAGACTACACAGTCGGTACATGTCCTCCCCTTCGCACCCAGAAAATAAACAATTATCTATGCGCATCAGCTAGACGGAAATATCTTATGTTACTGATTAGGGCAGACTATTCTCAACTGGCCCAACTGTGAAAAATTCGTGGTCTCGGTGGGCTTCAAACCCACATCAGCAGGAAAGGCTTTAGTACGACCAACACTCTACCAAATGAGCTAAGAAGGCACGCCGAAAGCCGTGAATGTAACCACAGTTGGGTCGATTTGCCCGCCTAGCCTACTGCACGCATAGAATCCACCATTAAGGATTGATTTTTATGGGAGCCCTGCCTGGGCAGCCAGCTTACTGTATCCGTATTGGTGGATTTCATACGCGCAGTAGGCTAAGCGTGTAAATCGACCCAAGTGTGATTAAATTCATGGCTTTCGGCGGGCCTTCCTAGCTCAATTTGTAGATTGTTGGCTTACTAAAGCTTTTCCTGCTGGTGTGGATTCGAATCCCACCATGGCCACACTTTTTTCACAGTTGAGTCAATTATACGATTCAAATCTGTCAAACTCCCTAGTAATGTAACGATTGTATGGATTTCAACCTTTGTCAATTTGAAGTGTTCAAAGGGGGCGGAAATTTTAGAAGTGAATAAACTTCCCTCTGCAGTTTCCACCGACTTTTCAGAGTTTTGCGTCCTTTCACAGGTCTTTGGCATCTAAAACGCCATGAGGTCATGATAACTTTATATATCCTTGTCTAAGCAAATTTGGCAAACACGTTTAAGTTTGACAAGAAACGCTGAGGTTGGCATGAAGCAACCATATATGGTATCGTTGAACTCTTTCAAATCAGTGTGGTGGGAATGTCAGGCTGATAGCATTAACCGCTGGAGAAACTGTGAATTAACACAACGAACTAGTCCGCCATCTAAAAGGAAGTATTTATAATGTGTTACTGGACGAATGTGAGTACTATGTTAAACGCAGTTCCAGAAGTGTTTCTGTGCCGGCGGTGTCCAGATGCGCACCCTACTTTTTACGCTGCCGATTGCAAAAATTGTTTCAAAGCGCTGGGCGAACCATTTTCAGCCATCACAGAGGAACCTAGAGCAACACGTAGAAACTGATTAAAAACATATGATCATCGTCTAGGTTAAAACTACTCAGCATTTGGAATGTTACAGTTAGGTAGCCCCTGTCCCGACCGCAACTTGGAGGAAACCTATTTCCCAAAGATAATCGCTCCGGGTATTCAAAAGCCTTCACTTCGGGCAACATTCTCAACGCTTCTCAAAACCCCTATGATAGTTCATATGCGATTTAGTAGTTATGGTGGAAAACCTTGTCCAGCCTACTTCGCATGTGACCAAACGAACACTCAAGATATTTGGTCTCTAGTTTGCCAAATGAACGTCATATACCTGGCCAGTCGGATATGTCGTGCATTCCCTTAGTAGTAAATGAAATGATTGGTAATGGTTCTGCGAAAATTCCCATGTTATGATGGAAAAGTTAATTTGGCAAATATAGGTTTTCGGTCATTCATTTTCGGGCCGATACATCGACAGGGAGAATGAAATAGTCAGTTATTTATATTGTGTATACGGTTGCATTGCATTGCTATTGCATTCTGCGTAAGCCTCTGATGATGAATACGTGACGGATATCGAAACGTTAGGCGAATAAAAGTGTTGTCCCAGCGATCAAACCGTATTCTTCTAGGTTATATGGTCCTCGAGAGGTAGTGGTTAGATTGAGAAGAAGTAGTTTCGATCACCGGAATCGTAGTTTTATTAGTCTG